GATCTCTCCCCTGTCAGCTTTCCCCAACAATCATGGAGTGCCGGCGGGGAATCACTGGCCGGGACCCCGTGATCGACATCTCAAGCTGCCAAAGCTGGTGCCAGTAGGTATGTATATATATATATATATATATATATATATATATATATATATATGTGATTTTGCGCAGTCCTGCCACCCTGTAGCAGTACTTCTACTATAGGACGGTGGGCAAGTGGTTAAGCTGTATGTGGTGTTATGGAACAAGACGATTTTCACGGACAGTATCAGCGACACTATAATCTGTCATCACATATTTTGGATGTTTGTTCTTATGAACGTTTTAGAAGTTTTAAGCTTGGCTTAAAAACAGCAGCGGCATCCCAATCAAATGTATTTCAAAACAGAGTGCACAAAAGAGAATGTACAAAAACATATCAAAATCAACACCCCATATTCCCTGTACTCCTCCCATCCCCATAGCCCCAATTATTCCCAAAGTATTCAAAAGTATTCAAAATATACACTTTAGGGATGTGTTTGGTAGAAATTGGCTAGCAGTAAGAAAGTACTTGAGCACTTAAATAGGCAGCAAATAGAATAAACAAAGGCAGGTTTTATTTTGCAATAAAAATTAAAGTGTATTATCTGAGAGAAAAGAGTCACAAATATTGTTGAGGGGCTGGATAGTGTGCAAACAGCTGGTTTAGTCCACAGTATATGAGGGAAAAATTCGTTTTTTTTAAAATCTGAAATATAAATTAGAGTGTATTAGAGACACAAATATTGTACAGTGGGTGTAGAGAATAGCTTCAGATATCAGCGGGCATCTGGAGCTCCATATACTGTAAAAGCTATACTGTAATCACCCCCAAGTCCAGCAGTCCTTGTAGCACTTTGTCCAAACTCTTTGCACTGCAACTCCTCCAATATAATATAGTCGGAATATCCTGCTCTGTGTTCCCCCCAAGTGTCAGATTCCCAGTCACAATTTATATTTTTTTTCTACATACTGTATGTTATTGTTTTAATTTTTATTTTCAAACAGTCTCATTTTTTATTTTAGGCCCCTTTCATATGGCAGGCTTGATCAGGTTCGCCAGTAAGTTTGTCAGTGCATTCACCCCTATGGACAGGCGGGTGTAAACAGACCTGTGTGCATTTACATCTGCCTACCTCTGGGTCCATTTTGGCCCACTTAAAAAAAAAGAAAAGAAAAGGGGATCCATGCTCTTCTGTTAAGGCAGATCAGAGGTAGTTAGGTGTAAACAAACAAAGGAGTCCTTTTACTCCCGGCCATCAAAAGAGAAGAGAGGGCTCTGTCCATGCATGTCCACTGTGCAGAAACTGAGCGGACACAGGTGTCATCCATCTGCTCTGCTCCAATCAGCAGGGGATCTGTAAGCGGATCACCTGCTGATTGGCAAGGAGTCCACCCTGTGTGAAAAGGGACTTATTCTGTTTCTTTCTTTTTTCTATGTGGTATTGATGAGGTGGTTGGACAGCACACAGCAGAGACCAGGCACTTCTGCAATTCCTCTGCACCACCAGCATAATTTTTCTCCAGTAAGGCACTTAACAGCCATATTTACTTCCCTATAGTCAGAGCAGTAGAAGCATAGCTGCAGGTGATAAATCATAGTCAAGTTTTTGCTGAAACAGAAAAAGAAAGTCTCCAAATCCCCTACGTGCTCCTCACCTGTATTCCAACTTAGCACTTCAACTGTTTTGATACCAGCTGGCGTAAACAGCCCCCTTTATATACTTTGTGGCCTTACCGAAAATAAAGGATTGGGTAGAAAGAGTGAGAAGATATATAGAATGGAGGAACTTTACCATATGGAGGAAGATAAAATGGAGGTATTTCGTAAGTTAGGAAAAGTGGGTACAGTTTAAAAATTCAGAGGTATACCTGGAATATGTGAAATAAGGAAAAGAAGAGAAAGGGGATACATATAGTACAGTATAATACTAGTAATAGCTAAGGTTCAGGATTTCTAGAATGAAGTTAAAAATGCATAATCAAAGGGTGGGGGGTGGGGGGGAATAGGTAAGGGGAGGGGTAAAAGGTCACCGAGATTAAGGTTATTTCTGGTGTTATGACAGAAATGTGTAATGTATACTGTCTGTTTTATTAGCTTTTGTACATTTAATATGGTGATTTGAAAACAATAAAATATTTAAGTTAAAAAATATATATACCGTATTTTCCGGCGTATAAGACGACTGGGCGTATAAGACGACCCCCTACTTTTCCTGTTAAAATGTAGTGTTTGGGCTATACTCGCCATATAAGACTACCCCTCTTCCAATGCACACCAGTGGGAAGAATCGTGCCCCATCATTGGTGTCAGTGGGAGGAATAGTGCCCCATCATTGGTGTCAGTGGGAGGAATAGTGCCCCATCATTGGTATCAGTGGGAGGAATAGTGCCCCATCATTGGTGTCAGTGGGAGGAATAGTGCCCCATCATTGGTATTAGTGGGAGGAATAGTGCCCCATCATTGGTATTAGTGGGAGGAATAGTGCCTCATCATTGGTATTAGTGGGAGGAATAGTGTCCCATCATTGGTATCAGTGGGGGGAATAGTGTCCCATCATTGGTATCAGTGGGGGGAATAGTGCCCCATCATTGGTATTAGTGGGAGGAATAGTGCCCCATCATTGGTGTCAGAGCGACGAATCGTGCCCCATCATTGGTGTCAGTGGGAGGAATAGCGCCCCATCATTGGTGTCAGTGGGAGGAATCGTGCCCCATCATTGGTGTCAGTGGGAGGAATAGTGCCCCATCATTGGTGTCAGTGGGAGGAATAGTGCCCCATCATTGGTGTCAGTGGGAGGAATAGTGTCCCATCATTGGTATCAGTGGGAGGAATAGTGCCTCATCATTGGTGTCAGTGGGAGGAATATTGCCTCATCATTGGTGTCAGTGGGAGGAATAGTGTCCCAACATTGGTTTCAGTGGGAGGAATAGTGTCCCAACATTGGTGTCAGTGGGGGGTGGAATAGTGCCCCATCATTGGTGTCAGTGGGGGGAGGAATAGTGCCCCATTGTTGGTGTCAGTGGGGGGAGGAAAAGTGCCCCATCGTTGGTGTCAGTGGGAGGAATAATGCCCCATCATTGGTATCAGTGACACCAATGATGGGGCACTATTCCTCCCACTGACACCAATTACACTTGCTGACCCCTGTTCTAGTATGGTGCTGCTGCAGCCAGCATATGTGGTTGCAGCAGCACCTCTGCACGGCACACTTACCGGCCGCTCCTTCACTCGATTTTCGCGGGGCCCGTCGGCTCCGCCTCCTCCCTGGTGATTGGCCACCTGTGTGCCTTTCCTGAGCTACAGTTCTGGCGGCCAATCACCGGTGAGGAGGCGGAGCCGAGCAGCCGCGCGAACATCCAGGGGCCGAACCGAATGAAGGAGCAGCCGCGCTTCCTGGACCGGATCGCCGTGGGACCGGAGCCAGGTATGAGACAGCAGCCCCTGCCCACCCCTGTACTTAGTGTCCCTTCCGTTGGAAGGGGGGTGCGGCGGCACTGCACCGCCCCCCGCGCCCCCCCCCTAAAAAGTGTCAGCATGCCTTATACCGGCGTATAAGATGACCCCCGACTTTTGAGAAGATTTTCAAGGGATAAAAAGTCGTCTTTTACGCCGGAAAATACTGTATATATTTTGTGGCCTGGACAGTCTCACATTAACATTTTCCCACCTGCCATCTCTATATTTTATGCTTTATTTTCAGGAAACAATCTTTAAAGAGTTACTTTTTATTACCTTAATTTTTTTTTTAAATTGTTGTATTTATTTATCTTTTTTATAAGGCTGTCTCTGCTCTGGTCAAGTAAACAGGGGCAGGAGCGACAAAGCTATAACTAAATACTTACAAGAAATCAAACTACTGACCACTGGGTTTTATCCACTCTCTGGAGGTGGGCCAATATGCACTCAAGGTACTATCCTGCCCATATGTCAGACAATATCTTCGGGGCAGTTGGGGGAGGAAAGATTGTCGGTGAGAACTGATTTTTACAAAACCAGACCTGGATTACAGAGGACTGTCAAACACCCACTGCAGATGTTACTGATCAAATCAATACATTTATTTTATATACAATTACCTAAGAAATGACCAAAAACATTATTCTCTCTTATTATTCTCCAACATTTTCACCTCCTGACACTTCTTCTAATTCTGCTCATTCTCTTTGCCATAAAAGTAACTGACCCCCTCAAATCCCAAAAAACTGAAGCTTTAATTTTTATGGAAAGAGAACTCTCTATGCCTTCTGGCTCAACAATTGGTCCTGTTGTTACTTCCTTGTGTTTCTACATTTAGGCCTGTGCTTGCCTTGAAATTTTAGTGACGTTGGCCAAGTTGCCTAAGACCTTAGGTACAAAGCCTAAGGAGGCATCTGGTATTCACCAACCCCCAAGAAGCAATGAACTTGCTGCAGAACAGATGTTCATTTTTTTTAAATTTTAAGTGACAGTGTAAAAAAAAAAAATGAAAGTGCCCTCCTCCTGTGCGTGCACGCAAAGGCAAGAGCGTAAGTTGATCCCGCATGCACACGATCGTCCCACACATGTGAGGTATCATCATAACATGGGCAGTATGGGTATAGTAAAACAAGTGAGCGCAATTTTCAAGTGTGACATATTTGGTATCTATTTACTTTATGTAACGTCATCTTTAATATTTTACAAAAAATTGGGTTATGTATTGTTTTGAATTAAACTGCATTTGAAAAAACGCTGCACAAATAATGTGTGACATAAAAATTCCAAAACCCACCAATTTAATCTCTTGGGCTTTCTGAGGGGGTTCCAAGTAATTTTCTATCTACAAAAAACCTTGATTGTTACATGTGAAGAAAAAGTGCCAGAAAAAGCCAGAAAAGCCAGGTCCTTAAAGAGTTACTAAACCCACAACAGTAACATCAGTCTGCATATGCAGTAAAGCATGCTTGGCATACTCACTGTGGAACCTAAGGGGTTAATCCTTTGCATTGTGTAAAAAGGATGTTTGATCCTGTCTTCTCTGATCCTCCCCTTCTTCCAGTGTCTCCCTCTTATCTCCTGAGTGGAGTAACTCTGCACATGCTCAGTTTGGTGAGTATTGTTAGAGAGGTTTTTTTTCTTGGGAGAGTACATGTGATCAGCACAGTGCCAATCAGCACTGCCCAGAGGTCAGGGGTTTTACATCCTCCTAGAGAAAACTCCTCCTACAAGCTTTAACCAGTGCTCTGCTGAACACTGATAGCAGTCACAAGACTGCTCTAACTGCTGATGAGAAAAGATATTTAACAGTTCATATTTACTAAAATAATTGCATTTCCACATTGAGTGTACTGTGAGAGACCAGATATAGTGAATGCAGGGTTCTGGGATTAGTAACATTTTAAATGGGTAAAGGTGGGAATACATGGTTAGAAAATCGACCGATCGGTCATCCGACGACCGAGAGGAGTTCTTTCGTTGGTCAAAATCATGGCCCACATTAACCAATCTAAAAAAATTAAAAAAAAAATGTTCGTCGGGCAATACATAGTGTTGACGTCTTCTGTACAAGTGCTGTGACCTTGTAGCCACGCCCTTCTGGCCAGAAAGAGCGATATACACAACAATTAACAGCAATGAGTATAATATAGTTTATTACTACAGTTTATTACATACATAAATAGTGATACATAAAATATAATATGCAGAATTCTGGTTTCATTATCTCATTAGGTCAATCTACTTTTAACATTTGGATTTTTTGTTCGTGTTTATGAAGATTCCTTGGACATCCGGGTCATCTTCTGTTTCCGCTCATGTGTGATAGCGCTTGATAGATTTTTCCATACGACCGTTATACCACCGCATAGAAAAGCAGTCGTTCGTATGCGAAACAACAACATTTTTCACTGTTGTTTACCAGATTTTTTTTCATTCACAATACCGTTATCGGTTAAAACATCCTGCTCATCAACGAAGAGAAAATTGTTTTGTACAATTTTCATATTGTGTGTACAGGGCATAAGACTTGACATCTTTTTTAACAGACCTGCCAGTGACTACAATCCCTAAACTAATCTTTTTCTATGCAGTTTGTCAGCAGCTATCCCTATGTTTTCCCTATCAAAGAAAAATCATTTTGTCAATATGGCTGCTGTGAACTCATCTTTGTATAGTGAGGAGGATGGCCAAAAGCCTAAAAATTGTAGAGGAAGATGAAAGAAAGAGCGCACAAACCTTGCGCATTACCTCAATAAATAGTGACTAATTTTATTAATAAGGAAATATACTCACAAAATGATTGTATAACAGGCATAAGTAACCATAATCCAAACAGGGTTACAGGTAAATCAAAAAGGGGGGGGGGTATGAAGGCTAACGCGTTTCGAAGGGTGCTCCCTTCTTCATCAGAGCTGGTAAAAAACAAATGCATATACAAATACAAATTCCCCTCAAACTAATTACATAAATCATGATGGTATAACAGGTGGTGTTACTGTTAACTGAACGTAGCAATACACATGAAAATACTCATGGTAATATGTATAGTAATAATAGTAATCATAATGTAAAAAGTCACATACAGAAAAAGTGTATATATACAAAACGTACACAAAAAAACAAACAAACAAAAAAAAAAAAAACACCTTTCCATATACATACACATATATACACATATATACACACACACACAGAGAGAGAGAGAGAATCCACAGAATAAACGTGTATACATATATATGTGTGTAAATGCAAAAGCACAAGTGCTATTTAAAATTTAAAAACAGAATACGTTAATTTCATTCTGTGTGGTATAAAATAGTGTATGTTATTATAATAATAGATACCTGGGTTTGGCAGATAGAAACTTCAGTATGGCAGAATTCCCATGGCAAGGAGATATTCAGCCACTGAGTGTCAGTATTACAGCCTTTACATGCCAGCTGACCTAAGGCAGGCCATAGACGGGTCATTTATCGGACCAATTTTCGTCCACATGAAAAATCAGCCGATATTCATGCTGTTAGTGGGGCCAGCCCGTCGGCCGTTTTTCGTGGATCTTCACATTTATTTTTATCGGTCATGCTGGAAAATCCATGAAAAATGGTTGTTTTTCATGGACATTGGTGGCAGCATCAGCAATGGGGCTGACTGATTTTTAGTTTATCGGCCGAAAATTCAGCCGGCCCGTCTTTGGCCAGAAATCGTTAAAAAAGACAAGCAGTGCATTATGGTTACAATGCATTTGGTCTAGTATAAATTTGCTAAGACCCTGAATTTTGAACATGTGACATTCCTGAACTTCATTGTTACTTGAAAGCAGTCACTTGGCTGAACTGTAAGGTTGACTCCTGTACTACACCTCATACACTGGAGTTCATTAGTATCTATCAGTCCCTGAGGGATAGCTCGACCTAATTGCATTCATTTAAGTGGCTTCCCTTACTTTCTACTGCTACACTGCCGTTGAATGTAATGTAAAGCATGGGCACAGTGGAAGGATGTATGTAGTGCTGTTTGATATGAGCATTGAGCAACCAGTGTATTTAACGCTTTTCCCGATTTTCTCTACACAAGCTTTTAATCCAGGATATCCATTCTAAATCTTCAGGCATTTACTCCAACAATGTGCCATTTTTAAGAAAAGCATCCATCTGACAGTCAGCCTGAGTGCCACAGATCAATAGCAATAACTAAGAGCCATATTGCACGGAGGATTTTTAGCACGCTGCTCTCCACACTAAGACATCACTCTGTATGCTGCCAGCAAGTCAGGGAGGACACTTCCCAGCATGTCCTTGAGAGATGCTTCCTTGTGATGCCTTTAATTAATTTGATCTCCATCCTCGGAAGAGGTCCAAGTATGCCTGCTTTAAAGGGAAAGCATAATCTATTTTCAGTGATAGCAGCTTTTGAGTTGTTAGTGCAGTGTTTGCATTAAAGTAATGTTGGATGGGACTTTAAACCTTTTTACAAATTTGCTCTTCCATATTTTTGTTATTGCATTAATAATTGAAAGTGAACATAAAGGTTATTTTTTTAGAAATAATAAACATGCGATAGTTGCTTGCTCTGTGCAATGGTTTTGCACAGAGCAGCTTGCTCCAAACCTCCTCTTCTGGGGTTTCCTGCTGGTGCTCCTGGCTCCTCCTCCCTTCCAAGTGCCTCCACTGCAAGCCACTAACTGGGCTACATCTGTCCATTGACACACACAGCACAGCTCGGTCCTGTCCCCTGCTCCCTCCCCACAGGATTGGATTGACAGAAGTGGAAACCAATGGCTTTCTCTGCTGCCTCCGTGTCCAGTATGAGGAGAGAAAGATCAGCACTGGATCAAAATCTGGCTCAGGTAAGTATTTAGGGTGAGCTGGAAAGGGAGAGCTATTCACAGAAGGTTTTTTTTATCTTTATGCAGAGAAGGCATTAAAGTAAAAAACAATTCTGCTTTTATAACCTCTTGAAATTCAGGGAGGGAGAGTTGCTTAGCCACTACTATTGTGCTGCCTCAGTGCTGAAAGTATATGATTACCCAAATCCAATCATTTAACCCCTTCACGCGGGCGCCTCCTGACCCTTTAAGGGGTTTCTGACACCGGGTGGTGGGGCAGGGTTTAGGGTCATGTGCCGCTGTGATTGGCTGTCACGGCAGTCACATGATTGGAAAGGTCCGTTTTGTAAGGAGAGATCAGTACCTTTCCGTGGGACGCCGACACGTGCTGGGAGCGCACAGGGAGCGTGCTCTCAACACGTTTGTTTACAAATGGCACGCAAATATGCAGCCGCTTGGTGTCAAGTCCCAGCCACCGAGAGGATGCATATTTGCGTATTGTCGGCGTGTAGAGGTTTATATACTAATGTTGACCAGGCTTTGGATGTGGTGGCTGCATTAGTTTTATTTTTTCAGCCTTTTTATTCTAAGCAATCCTGCAAAAAACATATGTCCTATCCTTGAGTGACAACACTCTGTTACCGTATTGTATCTATGGAGGGGAAGCATTGTCGCATTTAAGCTGCTCTCCTGATTTGGCCCTAATCCTGGGTCTAAGCTGAATAATACTGTGGAAAATATAATTAGTATTTTAAATATTTTAATGTGCAGCTATCAGTTCTTTTCCACATATAAGAATATTTGAAGTTATGTACTTTTCTCTCTATCTTTCACACTCTCTCTATAATAATAATAGCTAGCTCACAAAGATGTCACCGATCACAGAGCTGCTTCTGAACTGGAAAATAACTGCCAAAGGAAGAGAAGATGATAATACCAGGCTGAGGCAAATAAAATACCACGTGTGGCCAGAGTGTTAAAATAGTTTTTTGTTTGGTTAATTATAAGGAATGTTAAAACAGAGCAAAAACCAAAAAAAAATCTTTACAAAGTATTGCTTATTGTACTCATAAGGAGTGGTATTTTTCTGCATTTCCTCTTTTAGATATATGAAACAAAAAGAGAAAAATTGTGTTCCTTATTGTGCATAAAACATGCTAATATGCTAATGAATTGATCCTTATGTCACTATTTTCTGGAGACAGCTGACACTCTGCCCATGTGTAAAACTGTCTCAACCCCTCAGCATGTCCTTGATATCGAAAAACAAGTACTGATATGATAGCTATTAACAGCTTGGTACACACTATGAGAATTGAGAATATTTGACAAATGATCGTCCATGTTTTTTTTGCAAGCTAGTCTCATATTAAAAATGAATAGGTTACTAAAGTTATGAAAATTTTCATAAGACAGAATGCAACTTCTCATGATGATGTAGTGTATTGTATTGTATTGTAATGTATTTTTCATTTCGGACCATGCGCCGTCTTGGTCACTCAATTTTTTACGGACAAATTCTGTACTGATTAAACGAAAATTGTTTGCTCTGTTATTGTTTGAGAAAACTTTTCATGCTTGTCTCTTAGGATAATTTCGCATGAACTGACATGAACGGCTCTCGAAAGCTGTGTACTAACGATCAGATCACCGGACGATTGCTTCGAAAGCGGTATATTTCGTCTGAATTTATTATCATGTGCACTGACCTTTAGTGAATAATATAAGCTACTGAATGGTGAATTGTGTCTTAGGCATCTTCTTTACTGAACTCTCATACTGAGGATTGATATACTGCAGTCTCAGAGCCTAATATTAAAGTGTTACTAAACCCACAACAGTAAAATTAGTCTGTATGCAGTAAAGCATGCTTGTTATACTCACTGTGGAATCTAAGGGGCTAATCCTCTGCATTGTGTGAAAAGGCTGTTTGATCCTGTTTTCTCTGCTCCTCCTCTTGTTCAAATGTCCATGTCTTATCTTCTGATAAGACAGACTGAACCCGTAGCCACATGCACATGTGCAGTTTAGTGTGTATTGCTAGAGAGGATTTTTTTTTTTCTTGGGAGAGTGCATGTGATCAGTGCAGGGCCAATCAGCACTGTCCAGACAGAGGTCAGGGGTTTTGCACCCTCCTAGAGCAGAAAGAAAACTCCTCCTACAAGGTTTAACCAGTGCTCTGCTGAACTCAAAAGACTGCTCTAACTGCTGATGAGAAAAGGTATTTAGCAGTTTATATTTACTACAATAATTGCACTTCCATGTTGTGTATACTGTGGGAGACCAGATATAGTGAATGCAGGGTCCGGGGTTTAGTAACACTTTAATGTTCAGGAGAGTCAGTGGTTGTTTATTGGCACCCATAACAGCTATGTAGCTATTATGTCACAGTATTAGTCAATTTTGTAAGCTTGGTAGATACAATTTAGGAACATAGTTTAAAAGTGGTGAATGATCAGGTGGCCAATCATTTGTGGCTTCCAAACTACCCAATATTTTGCTCTAGTTGTAAAGATCAACTCAGTGACAGAGTTGTATGATTCTATTTATCACATTCTTTAATAAATATGCCTCTAAATCTTAGCTGTTTAGCTCCAGTGCACATGGCTGCTATTGTGTGAACGTTCCATTCTGGGCAAGCTAAAACATTTAAAATGATCTATAAAATGAAATTTTCTTTGCAGCATTTCTAGTTTATAATGATTTACAACTCTAGCTCAGATTCAGGTGAGCAATAATGACTTATATAAAAATAAAGACTTTCCTTTGCAGAGCTGGTACATGCTGCATGTTAGCCTAACCCATCATAAAACCCTTCATATAAAACACTGACATTTCTACATGAAATGAAAGCTAGACACTCAAGCATGATGTTTGTATTCTAATTTTCCAATCCAATGTAAATGTTCAGTCATATGTAGGATTCTTTTTTTTTAACATGTATTTATATTTTTCTGATTTTATAGAATAAAAAAGTAACTGCAAAAAATAAAAACATGGTCAGCATTATTTCAGCTTTGCTTCATTTTGATGTGACTTGGAATTTTTATAATGGTTTTGCACAGAACAGCCTTGATCCACTTCTTTTGGGTCCCCTGTCAGTGGTCCTGGCTCCCCCGCAGCCAAGTGCCCCCAATAGCAAGCCTCTTGCTAGGAGGGCACTCAAGTAGGCTCGCTCCAAACCACGCTCCTGTGAATAGACATTGTCCATTCACACACAGAGCACGGTTTGGCCTCACTCAATCTGCTCTCTTCTCATTGGTTCACTGGCTGTGATTGATAGCAGCAGGAGCCAATATGTGAGCTAATAAGGAGAAAGAGACCCAGGAGAACTGTGGCTCTCATGCACATCCCTGGAACGAGATGGGGCTCAGGCAAGTATAAGGGGGGCTGAAGGGCAGCTGCACCCATAAGGTTTTTTACCTTTTTTTTAATGCATTAAGGTAAAAAACCTTCTGCCTTTAGAACCACCTAAAGTTTTATTTTTCATTATATTTTTTTCTCTAGCTTTGGTCTTTTCTGATTAAAGTTGTTCTCTAAAAATAATTGTGTCTGAAGCAATTAATTTTATTTTCAGCTTGAGAACTCATGGATCTCATAGTGACTCATATTATTAAATCTTTAATCATAATTATGATAATACATTCCTAAAAATATGCAATGCAAACTTTTGATGTAAGTCTGGAAAACAACACCACAATGTGCAGAAAAAACGAGAAGTTGCACTGGGATCAGGACACTTGTAGTACGTTAGGTTAGGCTGAGTCAAAAATGTTCATAGAAGTAAATAAATTCAGCAAGCATCAGTGAATACATGCTAAAGATTTGCCAGTGTTCCAAAAAGAAGACAACTATAAATATGGAGTGTGAAAATTTAAATTTTTGAAATGCCCGCGGTGTAGCACTATGGTGCTGAGTCACACAACCATTCACACTCGAGCGTGTTCTGACATGTTGTAACTTGCACTCTCCTGGGTTGCAGACCATTTGACTCAGTCTTTACAGAGTAGTAGAAGAAATAACACATATGTGTGTTGTGCTGTTGGAGGAAAATGAGTGACAGGAATCTGGAGCAGCAGATTAACATCAAATATTAGCATGAGAGTTGGCAAAAGTGCAAGTGTAACTTTAGGTCTGTTACAGCAGGCTTATGGCGAACACTCCATGAAGAAACCAAGTGTTTTGCTTGGGCATAGGCAGAGGGCTGGGAAGATGTCCATGATGACAAATGAAGTGGGCAGCCAACAATGCAAAGAACAGATGCAAATGTGGCCATAGTACAAACCCTCGTACACTAGGATTGAAGATCGAGAGTGCAAATGATGGCAGAAGAATTGAACATGAACAGTGTGGCAGATTCTAACAGAGGATTTGGAAATGAGAAAGATTTCTGCAGAGAGGGTGCCTTGGATCGTGACAGAAGATCTTAAAGAACGTTGTCTTCCAAAGCAGATTTTTAAATTCCAAGAATTAAATTGCCACACCGTATTGCAATCTTTTAACAGAGTAGTAGTCATGGGGTTGGTTTATAAAAGACAAATAGGCTATGCACTTTGCAAGAAAATTTTTACTTTGCAGGGGAATTATCCCTTAGCTTAGTGAATGAAGTGAAGCATTGCTGACTTCCATTATCCAATCATGTGCAAGCACAAATGCTGTTCTTTTCATTTTCCTTGCATGTGATTAATGATTGGGCAGTCTTTGCAATGTGAATTTTCACTATATTCACTAAGCTATAACATCAATCGATGATCCTGAAGAAAGCAGCCTTGTTTAAAGAAGCCCTGTCCTGAAGAAAATGACCTTGTCCTTATTCCTGAGTCTTATACACTATGCTTGTGGAAATAGCAATACTGGCATGAAATGCGATGCTGGTGTTCACTTAGTCATTTGAAAATGGAAGGTCCTTGATGAACTGAAAGACTTTGGTTTTACTATACTTAATTGTAACTACAGGCAAAATAAAAAAAAAAATATTATTATTATTATACAGGATTTATATAGCACCAACAGTTTGCTCAGCACTTTACAATATAACAGGAGACAATACACCAACACAGGGGCGGACTGACAACTCATGTGGCCCCCGGGAATGGGGGATCATGGGACCCCTGTGTCCTTGCCCAAACTCAAAATAGCCTATGAAAAAGGTACCAGGGGCATCTCATGGGGCCCCCTACTGACCCCGGGCCCTCGGGCAGTGCCCGAATTTCCAAATGGTCAGTCCGCCCCTGCACCAACAATACAGTTCAATACAAGAGGGTTAGGAGGGCCCTGCTCCTTGGAGCTTACAATCTAAGAGGGAGGGGCTAGTGGTACAAAAGGTAGTAACTGTGGGGGATGGACTGGTAAGAGGAGGAGAGGATACTATTATTAGCTGAGGGCAGGATAGGCTTCCCTTAAGAGATAGGTTTTCATTGATCGCCTAAAAGTTTGCAGAGTAGGCAATAGTCTGATAAATTGTGGTAGAGAGTTCCAGAGGATGGGGTAAGCTCTGGAGAAGTCCTGGAGATGAGCATGGGAGGAGGAGACAAGGGAGCTAGAGAGCAGGAGGTTGTGCGAGGAGCAGAGAGTACGGTTTGGGTGATATTTGGAGACAAGATTGGTGATGTAATTTGGGGCAGAGTTATAAATGGCTTTATATGTTATTGTTAATGTTTTGAATTTTATCCGTTGGGCAATGGGAAGCCAGTGGAGGGATTGGCAGAGAGGGGTGGCTGATACAGAATGATTAGTAAGGTGGATGAGTCTGGCAGCAGCATTCATGATAGACTGAAGAGGGGATAGCCTGCGATGAGGTAGGCCAATGAGGATGGAGTTACAATAGTCAAGGCAAGATATAACAAGGGAGTGAATAAGTTGCTTAGTAGTTTCCGAGGTTAGGAACGGGCGTATCTTGGAGATGTTACGGAGGTGAATTCTACAAGATTTGGACAGTGAATGGATTTGGGGCTGAAAGGACAGATGGGAGTCTAGGATTACACCTAGTACCCTGGCAAGAGGGGAGGGACTGATAGCTGTATTATTGATCTTGATGGAGAAGTCAGGGGAGGGGGCACGGGCTGGAGGGAATATATAATATACAATCAGTAATAAAAACCTTGCACTGAATGCGTGCTCAAATATAAACTATAAATAAAATTATCTCTCTTTGGTGATAATTAACAAATCTCATACACTGCTGCCACCTTAAATGAAATAACTAAAAATAAATACAAATACACAAATTGTCTAGTGGCGCTGTGACCAACTAATACACAAAACACCTTCTACAGTGACAATGTGAATAGTGAAATAAAAATAGAATTGAACAATCATAAAATGTAAATCAATCCACAACTGTGAAATAATAAAGTCCATTATATCATATGGATATCACCAGTGCTTTAAGCTTCCTATTGCTTAGCATCCCAAACCAAAATCACCATGTGCTCATGAGACAAACTTGCCTTTTAAGTATGCACTCACTAGACCTAATTAAGAATTAAGAAAAAATTGGAATGTTTTTCCTTTTCATTTGTCTTCTGATTGTACATTTGTTTGCATGCTTTTGGTTTTTTCCTTGGGTGTGATTATATTATTCACCTGTAGTAGGTACTATTGTCACAGCAAGCGCTGTCCCTTAGCTGACTGAGATGGGAGTAAAAAGGCTGGCAGAGTGCCCCAGCTTGAAAGTTATTGAGGAGGGATAGAATCGGCACAAAAACTGACCGGGTTATCAGTCCCACTAACAGCAAGGAAATGAAAAATGTTGTCTTTTTAGATATGTCAGTTAAGTTTGACATTTATTGCAGGTTTTTGGAACAGCTGAAGCCCTGGTAGCTGCTGAACCAGAATATGTTGTATGGGGCAGTATTGGCTTTAGACATTTTTGGTAGAATCAAACAATTTTTGGTAAAATCTCAGATCAGCCAAAGAGGGATTGTTTTTTGGTATTTGTATGTTTTTAACATCAATATCTATGGTGTGTTATCTTTTGAAGCTGTGGCCGATATACATTTACATAAAATATATATCATTCTAACGTGAAAAAATTTGTGTAAGTGTTGTTTGTTATTGGGGTTTTTAGGGTCAGTGGGAGGGAGTTGTGGTTATTGTGGGAGTAAAGATCACCACTACACCAGTCATGTGTTCACTTGAAAAAAACAATTATATGTTAAGAAAGAACAAAAAACAAAAATGAAGAAAAAAGATTCTTGCTAGCATATGATTGGTTGATTGAAGTGAGCACAGCTTACTAAGCCCAAAGAAGCACTGACTTTGCAAGTCTCCTCTTTTAGAACTATTCTTTTACTAGTTTTAGTAAACTG